CATTTGACTGACACTTGTAGAATCGGCCCTACATTTGACTGACACTTGTAGAATCCTTTTTTTTTTTACGTGGAGGTAGGCCGACTCTATGTGATAAACAATTGGCAACCAACCGGTGGCTCTCCTTCTACATTCGACGGATAATGTGTACAGGTATTTAATGTATTTTTTTAGCAATTTGTTTTTGTAATTCATCCAAAGCGATATATTATGAAATTAAATTAATTACTCAATAAGTATTAATAAGTAAATGTTGTTCAAATTATATCGTGTTTGATCTCATTTTCATCAGAAAAATCTCACCAACATGTTAAAAAAAATTTCAGATGAAAAAAAGTAAAATTAAAGAAATTATATTTTTCTATTATGAACTGTCGAGCCGTGAAATCTCGTAAAAGAAACCAAATGGTGTAGCGTTATACGCTTGACTGACTGCGAGCGAGATAACATAGGCGTAGCAATGACGCAGACCTAGGCGTAGGACCATCTATACTGACACTTGTGGAATCCAAACTAGCTGACATTTGCAGACATTACTGTATTTTGGATTTAAGCACTTTGTTTACATTTTGAATTGACTCAGTTTGATTTCATTAATAAAGATAGAGAATATCCCATTTCGTAAGCATTCACAGTGAATTTATATTTTTCATCCTTTTTTACGTTTATGACCTTAAATGACCTTGAATGACTATAATCGTTGAAATTGTCTCAAGAAAGGCTACAATCGTAGGAGTTCAAAAATATGTGATTCCATTTAAAAAAACTAAGTTGACCTTCAAATCTCCTAAGCACCTCCACCTAAAAAAAAAGTTATAGGCCCCTCGAAACTAAGTAACTCTTATCTGAAACATTTCTTCCTATCTCAGAAAATATAGAAGTTATTCAGGTGGCTTGTCTTAGGTGATACCCTGTATAACAGATTACCTACGACAAATGTATTCTGCAAATTGTTTTGAAACACATTATTCAATACTTTGGCTACCATAGTTCCCGAACTTAACTCCTCTTAATTTCTTTTTGTGGGGCTACCTTAAAGATAAAATGTATTCGCGTCCATTTGTTCCGTAAAAGACTGAAAAGAACGAATTGGACTACGTTGCTCCGACATAAACAGTGACCACCTTAATTGAATCATGAAAAACATAAAGAAACAAATTATAAAATGTTTACAATGTGAAGGCAGAATGTTTGAACATCTTCTTTAATGAAACTCATAAAAAATTTTAAGTATATCACAAATCGTTGATCTTTTTAACATTATGTCCTAATACTTTTTCACGCTGACTGTTGCGATGAATTGATCTACAATAAAAAAAAGTATATAATTTCATTTAGGAAAAAGTAAGCCTATAGAAAAGTATACCCTCCCACACCATTCAACTTTTTCCTCTCGAACTTTTTTGTACCACTTACCTACCATTCTCGAGATACATATAACTCGTCCCAGTTACGAGAATCACTCTGTATAGTGCCAACGAGTATAAAAGCATGGAGAAGGTCCTGTTTTCATTTGGGAATACTTTTCTTCTGACGAAACAGGACACATTGTAAAAATTTGCACAACCGAAACATGAATATGATACTTCCTGGATTATATACCCGACTAGAATTTCAGTTAGGCATGCTTAAAAACGAATGTGGGCCTAATGCGGAAACGATTAGGCACACCTAAATGCTGCAAGCCTAATCGTTACCGCATTAGGTCCTAATTCGGAAGGAATGATGCATGGCTAAGTTGGGCATTCCTAACAGTTGCCATACGTGGCCCAAATGGGGGTGGCCGAGCGCACGCTTAGGTTGGGCATTCCTAACAGTTGCCATACGTAGCTGAAATGGGGATGGCTGAGCGCACACCTAAATTAGGTGGAGTGAGGCTCTCAAACTTATATGTAGGAATATTTACAGACATCTCAGTGTCGGACGTACGCTTGCGTGAGAGCTTTCAACAAGATAAAAGTTTTTACAATTTAATCCATGCAGTGTCTTGATGAGGTATTCCTCATGAGATTTCATTAATGTCTCCCAATGATAGCCTAATAAAGCTATTCTAATATGGGCCTAATGCGGTTGACCTCATTGGATAGTCATTGGGAAAGCCTAATGCGGCCCTAATGCGGTCGTGAATATTCCGCGTTACATACCGCATGCGAGCCTGATGGGGTGCCCCATTGGGGCCTAACAGGCAAATTAGGGTAGCCTAATGCCTGCCTAACTGAAATTTCTAGTCGGGTAGTTAAGTAGACAAAATTCTATTTTCCAATAATAGAACGACCTAAATCAGCACATTTAACAATTCTGCAGACAATAATTAAAAAATAAATAAGAAGAACAAATTATCATTATAATGATTTGGGAGCTACGGTTACCAGATCTTAATTTTATAGAGCTACATATTGGGTTGGCCAAAATGTTTTTCGCATTTGTAGACTTGTGTAATCAAGTTTATGTACATATGTAAGTGGTATTCAACGCAAGATTTTGGTATGTTAAGTACCTCTGCAATCTCCCGTGTGATTGCATGTGGATTATTTTCAGTTAATGCCTGAATTTGATCGTTGTCAACTTTTGTTGGCCTTACAATCTCTTCGACAGCAAAATATCCTGCACGAAATTTGGAAAGCAAAATTTGTATATTTTATTATTCACAGCACCTTCACCGTCTCTGCATATATTTTTTCTGGTTTGTGCTGTATTTTTGCGCTTACGATAGTAATACAGCACAATGTATCGAAAACGTATCTTATTTTTTTCCATTGCAGCACTGAGCAAGATAAATAAAACAAAACTTTACACTTTTGTTTTCAAATGTCGCATCAATACATCTACTTTCAGATTTCATTTTCGTTCGTGAAGTTATTTGTATATATACTCAGGTATTATAATACAAATGCTACATTGTAGAAGAACGAGAAGACTTTTTTGGTCAGCCCAATACTGTGAGATGAATTGAATCGAGAAATTAGAAATCACTTGCAAGAATTTTTACATCATAATTGGAAGAACATGCAAAAAGAAAACTTGCAAATTAGTATCAAAGGTGCCAAAATTTTACAAAATATCCAGTAAGAAGCAAAACAAATATTCCGATGAAACGAATATTTCATACAGGATAACATACTTTTAAACAATGTTCTATTCGACGAAAGCTATTACATATTCACATTCTTTGCCCACATGTGTAGAACAAAAAAGTAAAACGTTAATATACAGGGTGGTCCACGCAACTTGCACACTTTGAATAACTTCTAAAGTATGCATTGTATGAAAAAATTTTTTATACAAGAGTTGCTTGATTTAGAGGGGCACATTATGTAGTGTACGTATTTTTTTTATAGGTGGAGGCGTTTCGGAGATTTCAAGGTCAATTTCGTTATTTTAAATGGAATGCTATATTTTTTATGCCAAAATATCAAAGAATGTTGAATTCTGAGTAAAAAAGTATTGGCCTTTGTTAATCCTAATTCTAATAATTAACGAATAATTTCGCTTCGTTTCTTGAAAATGTACTTTGCATAATATCAAATTAGAGATTCAATATCAGCAAAGATTTCCATAGATGTTCGAAATGGTATCCATTGACATCAATGCAATAATGCAATCTATTCCTAACCAACGAGGAAACTGCACTCTGAATTGTTTTTGCACTGTGCACTCTGATGTTGTTGGTTCATGGTGTCTTTTAATGTACTCCACAGAAAGTAGACTAGCGGCGTTAGAAGATCTAGTGAACGTGGTAGCTACAGAAATTCTCCACCAAGACCAATCTAACGATTGAGAAATTGTCCAGCATTCGCCTTGTTACATGCGCATAATATGCAGGGCAACCATCATGTTGGTACCAGATTTTTGTATGGATATTTAATGGTACGTTTTCCAATAAAGTTGATAAAATATCACTTGAAAAATTCGAATATTTTTGTCTCGTTAATCGTTCATTAGTAGAATATGCTCTAATTAATTGATTACCGAATATGCCACACTACACAAACAAAGTGAAATTATTCGTTAATTATTAAGTTTAGGGCTAAGAAAGATCAATACTTTTTTACTCGGAATTCAGTATTCTTAGATATTTTGGCATAAAAACATAGTATTCTATTTAAAATCACAAAGTTGACCTTGAAAATTCCGAAACACCTCCACATATGAAAAAAAAATACATGCACTAAATAATGTGCACCTCTAAACCATGCAAATCTTGCATAAAAAATTTTGTCACATAACGCACACTTTAGAAGTTACTCGAGGTGTGCATGTTGCGTGCATCACATTGTACAGGGTGTAAAAAAATTAATGGTCAAGGCTTCGGGGGGTGAATCTAGACCCTTGGATCGGTGGACATTTGTAAAAAAAAGTTTCCGCAAAATTGTTTATAACATTGAAAATTAATGTAAAACTTTTTTTTTACATCAACGTATTCTGCTCGACGAGAAGAGAAAAAGTCTGAAAGGCGTTGATAAAATTTGGCAACGATTTGATTGTGTAGAGCTGTAGGACACGCCGTGTAGGACACGCTCGGTATATTGGTGTGCGTGCCCCTACACAAACGCCATTTAAACGTCGCTTGGTTCGGGCCTGCCTTCGTGTTTAGACCTTGCTGTCCCTTTAAACGACGTTCGTATAGAGGCACGCACAATAAGAGTCCAAATTCAGGAGTATCTTTCTCTTTAGTACATGTACCCAAACTTTTGAGTGGTAGTACATATTATTTTAAACATTTATTTCCACCGCTTGGTACAATAATATTGGGAGATATTGGAACGTGGTTTAAACTGGATAAAACATAAACTTATAGAATCTCAAAATAATTATAAATCTTTCACATCATTGTACACAAAAAATCTGCAGAAATCTGAGACAACGTAGAAGAAGCTTGAAATACACAAATAAATAGAACAATTTTAATTTTTCATCAAACTAGATGATTTTATGTTACGAAAATGATCGATCTTTATATTTTTGAACGAACTGTTTAATGAAAAATGGAAAAAAGATACCTTTCAATCTCAAAGTTCTGTCATCTATGGAGTCAAATTCATCGTTCAATAAAATTTCATTTTTATGTCGGTCCGGTGGTCGTTCTGTAAGAATTGGTTCCACAGTTACCAGCTCAAAAATATTGTTGGTTCTGTTTAAAATCTGCAGCAAAAAATGAAGATTATTTAACGTAATTGAATTGATCGAAGAATATTAAAGAAAAAAAATAGAAACAAATTTTTTATAAATATACATACCGAATGAAACTTAAATGCAATGAGTGGTCTAACAAGATCGAAAAAATTTGTTATTTTTTTACCAACTAGATCGGGTAATATTACCATAAGGGAATTTCCAATGCTCCTTACAATCATGTCTGATCTGAAAACGAAAATTCAATTGCGTTCTGTACGTTAGAATTAATAAATGAAAATATAAAGGAAAGTTCTAGCGAGAAAAAGAGTTTGCCACAATCTTGCACAAAAATGCATCAGGAAAACCGTTTCTCATTATACAATACTTATTATTTTTGTTTAGTTTTATTAATAATTATAATAATAATACTGCTATTATAAATAATAATTTAAACGAAAGTATACATTTTTCGATGAAAATATAACAGCTGTCTCAATACGCACTGTTTTTTTCAACTTTATGCCGAATTAAATGATTTAATTCCAAAATTTAGTTTCACATTACAGTAACTCACTGCAGAAATAATAACTAACAAATAATATAACAGCTGCGTCTATGTGTTACAATAGTGACTTTTTTTTGCACAGTACGCTTGAGACAAAATGCGCGCATTGTATTCGGAATAAAACGATGATGTATTATAGAATTTTTACCATATGGAACAAACATCTGTTTTTCTTCTTATAACTTTATCCATCGTAAACATAGTTTTAGTGAATTTTATACATTGTACTGGCATCTATGTATAATATGTCCGTTTCAAATGTCTACACGTATTGTCATTATTTCTGTAAGCCAGAAATGCGAAAAAATGTTTCAGATGAAAGTTGTATAGTATTGAGGGGGACATATCATGATGGTAATTGTTTGAAAAAAAAAATTTATGTATCCTTTATTATCGTATATTATTACAATTCTAGGAAGATACTTATACCTAAGGTAGGTAGCACCGAGGTTCGCAGATCTACAGCTTTCACCCTATCCCGACACGCCTTACCGTTGTTATTCGCGAGAAGAGATTGTGTGCTGCTATAGTCCCTATCAGTGCCCGTGTAGCTAGGATCTTCAGCTCGCTTTTCTTGATAATCCTCAATTGCACTAGTTCTATTGCCGATCTTGAACTCCAGACTTCTCTCCAAGACATCGTGATCGAGTGGAACTTGACCTCCGTACTCTTCTCCTTTTGCTTCATGGCCTTTTCGAGGGAGAGGTTCTTCGAGTAGTATTCCACTTTTCTTCTGTGAGCCTAGTCCAAGTTCGTCTGCTCACTCACGATCTGTGCGTCAACTACTACTGTAGTTCTCCCCATTGTTGCCACTATATCTGGTTTCCTAAGTCCCTCGTCCGTTCGGAAGGATGGTTCGACCTGGACTTGGTACCCTTGGTGTTTCATGTTGTATGCGATGTATGATGTTATTGCGTCATGTCTCCGTATACGCATTCCGTGAGTTCGATGGCAGTGCTGAACGACATGGTTGAGGGTTTCCTGGGCCGGACATCCCCCTCTACACCGTCTGTCGGCGTATCTGCCTCTAGCTGTTCTTGATCTGGTTGGGATGGCTCCGATTCGCGCCTTCACGCATTGGATGAAGTCTTTTCCTTGTAGGAGCCGGGTTCTATCCGCGATCCACTGGTGTTGTGGTGTGGCGCTAGACTCGCGGAGTCCCCTCCCATCTGCAGACACGTATAGCCGCTCAGCCCATCGTTTCTTAATGTCGTCCATCTGCAGCATCTGGGTTCTTTCTCTCAGTTGTTTCTTGCACTTGTCTATTTCCTCGTCTAGGTACCGATCCATTTCTTCGTCGCGAAGCTGATCATGACGCTTAGCGATGTTAATCGGCCCATCCTATGTAGGGGCGCCGTCCATCTTAGTGATAGAATTTCCAATCCTCCATATTGGATGTCGGCGTGGAAATATGCCGTGGGGACGTCGTGTGGGAGGTTCAGCCACTTCCGTACAGCCTACCGCACTTGGACATCCACCTTGTTGAGCGCGATGATGGTAACGTCGCCCAGTGCCAGGTGGTAATAGACACGTGGTATCAGTCCAAATCGTAGTGCGAACAGTCGTTGCTGTGGTTTGAGTGGCGCTCTTGTTAATTCTTCGAGACCTGGGCAGATGATCTTGTGTGGCTTGAAGCGGGATCTTCCTTGAGGGACTTAATCCACAAGTACCTGATTTCCTCGCCACGGCCCAGTGCCCTCAATGTCCTCCCTTCACAGTTGAACCGTCTTTTTCAGCTTTGCGTTCGTCCTGATTCCAATAGTGAGGGACTTATCTACGTTGAAAGACATTCCGCAGTTTTCCAGGTATTTTGTGGCGGTGTCGATCAACTTCTGCAGGCATCTAGGTGTCGTCGCAAAGAGGATCAGGTCATCCGCGAATGCTGCAGCGTTGATACAGTCTCCTCCCACTCTGCATCCAATTTTTGGTGATAATTCCTTCAATAGTCGGTCCTAACTCCTTTCTCGGGCAGGATCGGTGTTGACCTCGTAGGTGTTGGCGACGTATTCGATGAACTTCTTCGGGCACCCTAGTGTGCGCATTATGGTTGTTAGTGCTCTGTGCGAGACAGAGTCGAA